ATTATATGGAAGCGAACAGGAAAGTTAAAACATTTAGAGAAAAGATAAAGGCTAGGAAAATAGAAAGGAAAAGGAAACAGAAGAGAATGTTTTTTTTCCAAACTAGCCCTGCCAAGTACCCCATGTGAAAAAGATAGTAGTGATTGAAGTTCTGAACACTGTACTTGTATTTTGTTTCAGAGAATAGAACAAGCGATAGCCATATGCTACCTGCAAATGAATGGGTTGTTTCACTTGATGTTGAGTCAGCTCCAGTTAAAGTACCACAGTTGGATTCAGTGAAGCGTCCCTTTACACTGACTGGGGCTGAGCTGCTATGGTGCAATGCAGCCTTCAAAGGAGCAATGTGGTTGAACTGCACTGAAGAGAGACATCCAATAAACCCCTGAGAGTTTGCCTTCATAGTCTCCTCATCTACATCACTATTTTCTGTTAATCAAAAGAAACAGAACACAATTAATCATAGTGCAAATGTACAAAATAAAGTGACAGAAGAATAATTGAATAATTAACCTGCATTCCTCTGAGTATATTTGAGCTACAGCAACATATGTAGATTCACTGAAGTCCTTTTTTGTCTTCCTTTAATGGAAAGAGTCAAATATATTCAATTTTTTTTTATGGATGACAGTTGCTAGTCTGCTGAGGGACATACTTTTAACTTACTATAGCAAGTTGCAAACCAAAGCAATTCAAAGGCAACTAAAAGATTTAAATTAAAATTCATCCCTTTTTTTTATTCTGTAAATAGATAAGGATGAAAATAATGAAAAAATGCATATTTTATTAGGCATCTACTCAAAAATAGGCACATTATTGGATTAGATTTTTTTCTACAGATTCATGAATCCAGTCCCTTTTGTCATCGGTAGTTCTGCCAAAATACAACAAAAAGTATCTCTTCAGACCTCAGTTCTTGGAAATCCATACAAATGCCTTTCCTATGGAAGACTAAAAATGAGTGATTCTCCAAATGAGTCTAGGCTGTGTGCATGATGTCAATACTTGCTCCTTTAGAGAAAATGTATCTTCTCTTGGGGTCTCTTGGTAAGAATATGTAACCTATCAAAGCTTTGTATTTGCCCTACATTGTACTTTGGTAGGTGCATATAGCACATTTGTGCTGACACAGTAAATCAGCAAGCTGCAGGTAACCGCCAATATTAATTGCTCAAGAGTTATGCTTACAGAAAATAAGTTTGAGCTTCATCCAAAATAAGGAGAAATGTCATCTCATACTGTTATATTCCCCACTTTACACAATGCATCCTTAGGCTATAGCACAGAAACCAGCCTGTGATTTTTACAATGCTAGCAATTGTTAAAATGTGTATTCTAGTTTATTATTATTCATTGTATGTTGTCCTGTGAAATGAAAATTGGGCTAGCATTTTATGAAATGTATGTTAAAAAAAAAAAACTCCCAAAGAAACAAAAATGATCTGAAACAACCAACAACCAACCATCTTTATCAGATTCTCTCTGCTTAATCCAAAGAAAAATATTAAAGCAATAACTGGCTATCATCAGGACCCTGATGACCTAAGTAGATAGACTATACAAAGCACAGGGAGTTTTAACCATCTCTTTTATCTTTATGTCTCACACTCTGGTCTGGGGATAAAATTAACTCTCTCTGACAGGGTGACTCAGTTAAACAGGATAGTGCTGGTTAGAAAGCTAATAGCTGGTCAGCATTAGTGTTCTCACTATTCCTAACATTCGGAGCTGAATTGTTGGTACTATAAATGATTGGGAAAGCAGGATGCCATGAGTTATTAAAAATAATGGAATTGTTTGGGTTTCCTTATTACTCTGGTCTTTAATGATTTACGAGGGACATGCAGAAAATTTCTAGCTTGACAAATAATAAACATTTGCATTCAACTGTTAACATTTCAATACAGCTCCCTTTGACATCAGTGCACTTGGTCCAGTACAACTGCAACTTGACTATACGTATCTCAGGTTACCTTTAAACTGTCATAAAGACATTTAAAACAGAAGTACACACCTATTAAAGGGTGTTAACACATGCTAAGTGGCCTCTAAGTATTTTAAAGTTATGCCACTTCAAGTGAGGGTTATCTTTGATCTATTTTACCAAGTCATTCTAAGGTATTTTTCATTTGCTCCAGGAAGATAAAAAAGTCTATTTTCATTTCTCTTAGATCCCAGGGTGAGTCATTTCTATCCCTTCCCGCTCTCTTGATCTGTGGGAAAACTTTCAACCCTCCTGAACTCTACCACCCAGGGGAGTGATGCTGGTCCCATGATAACACCCCATTCTGCCACAATGGGTGCAACCCCAGCATACTCCAACTACTTGGAGCACCCAGGTGCAGCTCCCCAGTTTGCTGGTTGGTCTAATACCCCCATGCAAACAGCAACAGCAATCCTACCACATATTTCCATGAAAAGAATGAGCCACAGAATGGTCAGCCATTCTCAGGTGGGTCTCAGCTCTGCCCTGATGTGGCAGGCATGCAGAAAGTCTGCTGGGTCTCAGCTCAGCCCTAGCATAAATATTAACCCAACCCTCCCCACAACTCTACCCCAATCCCAACCCCAGTTCAGTGAAACATATTCCACCTTTTCATTTTTTTTAATTATTATTCTTTTTTTCACTCCCTCCTCTTTTCTTCGACCCCCTTCCCATTCACTTCACTTCACTTCAAACAATTTTTTTCAAGACTTTTTTCCCTCTGACTCACAGGTCTAGTGGAATGGGGAGTAAAAGAAGCTGACCTCCATACCACACACCCCTACCATCCTCTCCCACCCCACAAGTCCTGGCTCTTGTTCATGCCCCTGCTTGCCAGGCCCTGTAGTGACACATAATAGTATTGCAGGTCTGAGACAGCATTTTACTTTTGTCAGTGACTTCTCTGAATCAGTCCTAACTTTATGCTGGCATAATATTCCACAGATTTAAAATAATTTAAAGGTAACCTGTAAGAGCACACCCAGAGAAATGTTTGTCCTGAACATCCAGAAACTCCTTGATTGCTTCAATCACTTCATTATCATAATTGACACTCTTCTTATCAAGGTCTCCCTTCAATTTGAGGAACAAGTAAAAGTTTGAGAGAGTCAGACTGAAGAATAAGACAGATAAGTGATTCAAAGCCACTGTTGTTCAGACACTGGAACCTGGGATGTGCAGATTGGTGTATATCCCTTTAAAAGTAGAACTCCTTAACTTGTTTTTGATGGCTTGACATAACAAAATACTGTTCATGGATGTTCTGGCCTCTTGGTAGACAGGTCAGTCACATTTATTCCTTCAGTCTTGCAAAGAACCATAGTGATAACTTTACTGATTGAAGCCATATTTTTTAGTTCCTTGAGAAGTGGAAACTGCAGGCTTTGATTCACTTAGAATCAAAGTGGGGAACCCATATCTAATCCTGAATTAAAAAACTGTTCATAATTTTTTATGGCTTTGCTTGACACTGCCCCAAAAAGCCCCTGGAAATGACAAGCCTCTCTCTATTCTGATTACCATTCAATTATCTGGTCACCCATTTTGCAGGCACTCAGTGTCTTCCTTGAGGACAGCATATATTGACCCCATGCTGATGTTGACCATCTCAACTTTGTGCCTAACTGTTGATTCTCTCTGATTCATTACCATTTTTTCAACTGTATTAATTTGTTCTAGTGTAGTGGTCTCTGGCTCAGCTCCAGCACTGATCCTCCCTTAATTAAATTCAACTGTTTTTACTGTGGTGTGAAAGTGGGCATCATCCTTCAGTGTTGCCACCACAGTCTAATGTATTTCCTTCAGGGTTAAACTTTCCTATAGTGCTCCTGAACACCACTGTGATTTAATTCCTCCCCTTTACATTTTTTGTGGCCTTCTCACTTTGATACATCCTCACAGAAGTTCTTCACAGACAGAAATGGCTTATAACAAAGAAGTACATCAAAATAACAGAATTTGGCCTGTGAAATACATTGGGCCCAATCATATAATTAGGTAGGTCAGGATAAGTACTTTCAGAGCACTTGTCACAATGATGATTCCAGTACCCTATAACTGGAAGGTAGAAAAGGACCTTAATAAAAGGAGCTGGGCAAACAGAGACGTATGGTGCAAAGAAGCTCTTTAAGCTGGAGAGGGGACAAAGAGAGAGTCTAAAGAAATACATGAAAGAAACCCTTTCTTTTTGTAACCTTGAGTAGGATGGAAAGCTTGAACTATATGGCTATTGCCATTAAAAATAATTCCTTGTTCAAGGACTTTGGCAGTCATTGTACTTTTATAAATAGAAAACAGTAAGATATTTATAATGCTTTGTGCGTAGTCCACTCATTTACTCTCCTGAAAGGAATAACATATTTCAAATCTAGACTTTCCTGATCATTTGGGGCAATGGCAGCATTTAAAAAAATTATGTTGTTTATTAGGAGTTTATTGTGTAGTACGTTGTAGATTTGCAATCTAAAGTGGGTGTTTTTCTATCAGTATTTCAGCTCACTTGCTGAGCATATTTTGAGATTATTCAGAAAATAAAGACAAAATTATCCCACCTACACTGCCTCCTTCAACAACAACAAAAAAATCTTTTCTGAATTCTGCCTCATCCGTCTGTCCTCTGTGAAAGAATGCTGAAGGTTAGCAGACACACAACTCATAATGGACCACTTAAAAAAAAAGACTTTGTGCAATCAAGACTTCTGTTTGACCCCTCTCTTACCATGATAATGATAATCAAGGCTTCAAATTCTTCAAAATTGTATAAAATATAATTTTATCTTGAATCATTTTATGCTTTTCCAGTCTGTCTTGACTTTTACATTCATTACACTTAGCAAAAGTTCTTATCTATCAAACAGAAACACTGTGTTCATTTTTTACATTAAAAGCTCAGTACTTATACAGAGGCACAAACAGGGCAGTCAAAATGCATCTGCAGAAAGTCTTGCATTTATACATTCATTTTATGGGTACAGTGACTGTCTGAACACTTTTGCAAATTCTTCTTTTATACTCTCAGATGAAAACATCACCCACAAAGTCAGCAGTCATTATGGGTTAAATGTTTCATGGATATGAATGGGTAAATTTCCACTGACTTCAATGGAGTTATACCTGCTTCTACCAACAATAAATCTAGCCAAATGCCTGTAGCACAGTTTCCATTCACACTCTGCAATTTTCAAACCAGAAAAACCCACAGAATATACAGACCATCAGTACAAATCTATAAAGATCACTTTCTACCCAAACTGACATAAGGCACTGGTGAAATCATCAATAATACAAAATTGTTTTGTTCCAGAACACTGCAGAGTGGGTGGCGTATGTAACCCAATTATTGTAGTTGAACTGAAAGGTAAGAGGGTTGATATGTATTATTTATTAATGATAATGTACTTGCTGTGAGGAAAGTTTGACTGAAAAACCTTTCCTAGGATAATCA